CATAGCGCAAGAAGGTAGGACCCGCGACAGTTCGGCTGCTGCTTTGAGAGGTTGGTTGGAGACTTGGCTTGGCGCGGAGCTGACGAAACTCAATGGAAATATTTGCAGGTAAGTGTGGACTTGTGTTTGTTGGCTATTGCAACCATGGCTATTATTGCTGCTAACTCTATATTTTTGTTTCCTTTTAGGATTGCTGTTCAGCCTCCAAGGATGGCAACACCTGATCAGGTAGATGGTAATCTTTTTAGAAATGGGTTGACTGTGGGAAGGACTCGCCGGAATGGCCAGACTAGCCTCAGGTACAGACGAGCTGTGGCCACCCCTGCTGATAGTAGGCCTGCCAAGCTATCCAAGTACAGAACTGTTGGCTCTGCTTGGGAAGAGTGGATGCATGGTATTGGTGGCAACAAGCCAGCCAAGAACTTCACTGCTGAAGATATCAGGGCTTGCAAGTCAACCTACTCCAGGAGGAAGCCACTCTGGACTCTCATGGCTACACTTGTCAATTCTGGCAAAGCTCCAGCTTGGGTCATCACCAAGATTGAGCACCATTACAAAGGAAGCATTTTGAATATTACTGCTGCCATCAAGCAGGACACCATTATGGGCAGTCTGCATGAGGATCTTTGTATTGTTCGTGCTCAGTAAAGTTGACCTTAGTTTAATAAGCATGCTAGCCATGCCTAATAGTGAGTTTGTTACATGGACTTGATCTTTTTCGTTTTCGTGGACTTGCTTGTGCTTGCGAAATTTCCGTGGCACAAGCATGCGAAATTTCCGTGGACTTGTGCTTTTTCGAACGTACTGTAGCTAGCTAGCTAGCTAGCGATTCGTTCGAGATAATAGAGGTGCGAGCGTTATCTTAACAGTGAGTAGTAGAGGTGCGAGCCTCATTTATCTTACGACCGAGGCGGTGACCTTCACTGGTTTGTCACTGGTATGAACGATCGTCAACCAGCACACACCAGGTGGTCGATGTCGATACTCAATACCTCAATCAATACGTCCAGTAGGATCCCCTACTAGTCCTACACGATCTCAGTATTTCTCTCAGTTCAGGGATATACTTTTACGGTACCTTTACCGTAGTGAGGCAGAAGATCATCGACCTTTCGACTGACAACACGACGCTACAGTAGTACGGTGTATCCACACCCACCGTACGTGACACCTTGTGATCAGGATGAGGGCAGAAGACAGCACCTTGGGGTAATTGATTCTTGGAAAAAAGCTATAAACAGTTTTGTTAAAATTTATAAGCTGACCAGCTGTCTTAAAGTATCAGACGATGACTCTGTCTTAAGACGGCCACCTATAATTGACCGTCTTAAACATAAGACAGTCATTGTCTTAAGACGGTCATTGTCTTATACATAAGACGGTGTCTGAAACATTCAGGGGGATGAGGAGATTTTGAGTTTAGTAAATTTATAATCTACTTCATCCTCTTGTTTCAAAAAAGACATCGTCTGAAGCATAAGACAATGACTTCTTTAAGATGGTCATCGTCTTAAATTTAAGACGACCGTCTTAAGACAGAGTCATTGTCTTATACTTTAATACAGCTGTCTGAGTGGGACTCAACTTAATTAAAAGAGTGATTTTCTTTTTTCCAAAAAGAATTTTTTCAATTACCTCTGTTTTACCTGGAGGTGCAGATGATCGACCTTGACAACCTTACGTACTACAGTACTGTACTAGCTAGTATCACCTGATACCATCACCCCCGAAATTGTTCTGGGTAACACAAAATACGTACTACGGAAACTTTGGAAAGATTCGATTCAATCTTCACAGATACCAACCGGTGCTTGTAGAAGGTTGACAACCAATGTGTCCACAGCTACACAGAAATTTCGTTGGACATTTGGTCTGTTTCTGACAAGGAAGCATTGGCATCCACAGAGGCAACAGGCGGCTTTGTCTCTTCAGTGACGCCCACAACATGTTCTGTCACCATCTCCTCTTTCTCAAGATCCTCAGACTCCTCTTCGCCCTCGACCTTCTTCTCTTTGCTCAGACTCAGCTGTGATGGGGACGGATCCAACGGTCCCAGCAAGGATAGGAGCACTGGCAGCAAGACCAATCCGTGCAAAGCCCCGAACACAACCAATCCAGAAAAGGCATAAAAGAGGATCTTGCCCACGCCGCTGGTGGTGAAAGCCAACGGAACCATGCCCAAGAAAGTTGTCAAAGCGCCAAGCAGAACCGAGGAACCCATGCAACACAACGATTCCTTGACTTTTTGATCCCGCGTTCCTGGGCATTCGTAATACTTGACAAGTACATGGAGGATGTAATCCACCATGAGTCCAATTGACATGACCACTGCAATGTAGCTGACGGCATTTACGGAAACTCCGACCAGTTGCAAAAAGCCAAGCAGATCAACATACAGCACCGAAAGCAGAGGGAATACAAAGAGTGCACCACTCCAGTGTGGGATGAGGATCAGGGCGGCATCGGTGACACTCAAGACACCAATGACAGATGTGAAGAGTAACTCCTCAACTGCCACCGAGTTAAACTCCCAATAGTTGAAATTCCGATGGTAGGCAAAAAAGGACCAGTCATCCTTGTCGTAATTGATGGGCTGAGCAGCTGACACAGCACGTTGAGCCTTCAATGTCTTCACCTGCTCTTCAACGTTATTAATGTCGAGGTCGGAGATGAAGAAGAGCATGCAAGAAGAAATGATGTTCCCGTCACCGTCCAGAACAATATCGTTTGAGTAGAGTTCACTGAAGACAGGCTCTTGCAAGAATTTATTCAACTTCTCTTTGAAATTCAATGCCTCAAAGCTTGTTCCGAACTGCACAGCAGAATACTGCTTGAAATGGCTTAACCAAAAGTAGCCTGAGGTGGGCTGTTCCACTGCGTTAATGCCGACGACCATGTCATTGACATATGCCTCCATTTGACGCTGCACGTCTTCATTGGATTGGTCAACACCTCGAAAGTACATGTACGGCATCATCACTGAGCGGGAGTTGTAATTTTGGTAGGCAATGATGTTGTCAGCTACATACGAATCACTCGGCAGCATGTCTGTGAGCTTGAAGTCTTGAGTCATCAAAGATGCACTGTAGGCCAAACCTCCAAACAGGACTGCAAAACCGACCAAGATCACCGCCTTAACCCATGGTTGAAGGAGCTTGTCTGCGTACGATGACATGATACGCTCTGGCAGTGGTACAGTTGCGGCTTCATCGTGGTCCTCGTCGAGGTGGGTTCCGAGTTGGGTCGCGGAGACGGGAAAGCACACGCAACAATCTCTGCGGTTAGCCTTGATGCGCTTGTCGTCAATCACGATCAACGCCACAAAAAATGTTATCTGGTAGAAGAAAGTGATCAGGAGCATCGGAATTGCATAGCAGCAGAGCCAATCCACAGCCGGAATGGATGTAAGGGTGTCCAAGCCAAAGGCCAGGACAGAGGTAACAGTTGTTATGGCAATGCTGAGGCCAGCTTCGGAGATCGTTTCGTCAATCCTCTCAACAGGATCTTTCTTTTGGTCTGTCCTGTTATAGGCAGCCGTTATGATAAATGCATCGTCCAACCCTATGCCCAGCACAATGAATGGCAACAACGACGTCATGGTCGTGTAGGGAACGCCTGTGGGAAACGAGCACCGGATAAGCTCGATTTGCAATTTCGAACTTTGATGATTGTTTCTTCCAGAACGTACCAATGATGAACAACAAACCAAATCCCGAGGATGTGGATAGCACAACGGACACAACCGCTCCGAATCCGAGCAGGCTTTGGGATTTGACAGGGTCGCATTTTGAATAGACCAAGCAGACAAACACGGACATGACAACACCAACGATTTGTATAAGTGGCAGATCTTCTTGAATGGACCTATTGGCTTCGTCGTCAAAGCTCCTTGTAGCCTCAACTTCCAGGCGAAAGGCGTTGCCTATCTGTTGTTTCCATTGATTGCGGAGGTGCAAAACACTGTCAAGGGCATCTTCCTCGAAGTCGTACGCCTTGGCTTCCTGCTTTTCTGGTAGCTCAACGACGGCAAAGTAGGACTGTCCTCCTGATAGCTTAGTTCCAGTGCCATTCCATTGAGGAGACCCGACGAGTCCGCGTACATCCATAGGACGCCCATCGGGAAAGGTCTCTTCTGACAAAGTCAGTATAATGTCTTCGTCAGAGCTAACCGCTGCTTCAAAAAGGCTGGTACTGTGATTCCAAAAAGCGGTCACACCATGAATCTTGCACGTCCCGCTTCCCGATTCACTGTCGACATGATCACTTTTCCCGCATACCGCGTCAAAGCCTTGGGTTGCTCTGATGGCGTCCAATGCCTCAAACACATGCGCAACGCCTTCTTTTGACACAGCATTGTCACCTTGCTTGTGCACCATAATGCTGAAGGCCCTGGGCAGACCCTGGAAAGTCCCGGTTACGTAGTTCAAATGTTCTTCTGATCTTGTCCCCGCTGGGGTCCACCACGACAACGTGTCGGCTTCGACAGCAAAGTTTGTTGCAAACCCAAGAAAGAGAAGAAGGAGAGAAAGCGCACTGATGGCGACAACATATGTTCTAGGATAGAGGGCGGCATGGCGAGCGATCTGTCGCAGAAACGCCACAAGATTCACTTCGAAGGATCGAATTGTCCTCGTCCACATGTGCGAAAACTTGCCAAGACAGTGCGTCTCGCTTCCCGAGTAGAAAGTCGTGCGGTAGAAAGCAAACAGAACGACAGCCGTCGCAATGATGCCTACCATCGAAAGTGACGCGACTTTCCAAACAGAAGCATCCGCCGTCCTGGCAACGCCGTCACCGCTCGCTGCGGCTGACGGAAAAGGTTCACACGAGGGCACTTGGGCTTCAAGTTCCGGGGGAGAAAAGAAACGGACATCCGATTGAATGTCGCCACTGAAGCATCGCGTGATCCCGTGGCTGAGGCCTTCACTTGCACTGAGATCAGGATAGACCGAAACATTAGCCATTGAACAAAAGTCGACACAGACCTTTTCCTGCGCGTGGAGGATCACTTCCTCGGCAGTGCAATTCTTGTTCACGTAGCAGTCAGGGCATAGACTTATGGGCAGGTTCCGTGGCAATACGTCATCTTCAAAAATGCCAGAATTGCAAAAGTGAAGGGCATCAAATGGCTCACGATAGTCCCACCTCAATGTAAGGAAATCGTGGGCATGCTCAAAGAAACTTTGGGCGCAAAGGCTCATTTTGGAGAAAACACCTGATCCTGCATTCTGGCATTGCTTGATGAAAGAAGTAGGGTCGACTTGTGCCACAGACTGAGTTTCCACCCTCTGTCCAGGCCAATAATTAATACCAGCGATACACATCTCGTCATTGGTTCCATCTCCGAAGTGCACGTTCTGGGACAGACCAGAAGTATCATATCGACAACGTAAGAAGATAGCATCCCCCGGCAGCAACTGGCTCACCAATGATGGCGTGAAAGACTGATGTGTGAAGTCGAAGTGCTTCTCGTCCACTAATACCCCTAAACTCCGTCCTTCACGCCTTATCTCGATTTCCATCTTCGTCCCGTACTGATGCATGTGGTGCACAACCCACATGATGTTGATTGGGTCTTTCCACATGCTGTAAGTGCACACAGATGGGACCACAAAGGTGGGCAGCTCAAAATCTGTCTCCCCTGCAGGGATGCCGTTGGGGTGCTGTGCAGAGTCAAAACCTCCCTGCCCAGCGATATGCGGTTTCATTAGAGAAATACCAATAAGATAACAACTGGAAGCAAGCAGGTCCCATATCACCTACCAAAAGGGATATCTGTCCTGCGTCATATGAACGTGGCTTTGGGGCTATGTGCAAGCGCATTCCACTGCTGTCATAGATACCGACATCAAGTCCAGGATTGTAGTAGTGCACCTGCATTACAAGCCAACGTTTTCCCTCTCCAAAGGGCAGGCCAACGTCAGAGGGCATTACCAGGTCTTCCCCAACGCCCAGAGACCAAACAGCCTTGACCTCAGCACAGTGAGGCGGCATAGTTTGACAACTCGGGTTCAATTTGCGGTGGAAGATGTCATCATCGCTCTTGTCAGTTAAGTCAGCATCGCAAGCATAGAGGATGATATGGTGTACATATTGCTTCGATTGTTGGGAACAAACAGTCTCGACTCGAACAGAGTGGGATTTGTCGTTGGCACTGACGAATCTTTGGCTGCCTTTCGACCCCTCCAAAGGAAGCCTTTCTAGTTCAAAGTACGAGCAAATGTAGGGGTCCGTTGGGATTTCTCCCTCGCCCGAAACGACGCTAACAATGGACATCAACAGATCCATGGTATAGCTATCAGAAAGGCCCTGATCCTTGGTCTCGGGCGGCGGTAAAAACAGGTTTGCTTGGAACTGGCCCCGGCGGCGGCCGTGGAACGAGAAACTGTGATCTTCACCTACTGCCCAATGCATGAACATGCTGATGTTATGAACGGAGTAGTCAAACTCATCGCAGGAATTGATTGGCAGAAGTACACCCCAAGCGGTTTCTCCGTTAGCAGTCTGTTCTGCAAAGATGAGTTCAAGATCTTGAGATTCATCCAAACTGAGTGGAGCAGAGATGTGGTGATGGCCAAGGTTAGAAAACCAAACCAAGGCTCCAAATCAAAGAGTCAACGCCGTTGGGCCCGCCTCGTTTACCTTGGCATCGTGTAGTCTTGTGAGTTTCGGTCCTCAACAACCCACGTATCGTCGTAAACGCCGCTGCTTTTATCCTCCATCTTTCGGACGACAATCTGCGAGGCGCCCTTCATTCCTCCGTTTCCTCCAATAGCCAGAGCCGTCCATCCGAATGTATCCTCCACAGCATGCAGTCCAATTAATATCTTGTTTGAGCGGTCAACGTGGGGCGTGTAGTACATGAAGAGACCCTCGTCAATCTTCTGGCAGAATTCAAACAGCGTCTTCTTTCCTCCAATTGTGCCCCCTGCGCTCCGAAGTATCCATTACTTCCATCAAAGCAGGCCGCTTCTTTCGCTCCGCTTGTCGCCGATGAGACCGAAACGGCGGACACTAGAGGGAGCAGCAACACTCCCATCATGGCACAAAGAGTTGCACGAAGATCTTTATTGGTTGCTTGAAAGCTCGTCGTCACACAAAATTCTGTTTGTGAACGAACATCTACTAGTACTAGTGTACTAGCTAGCTAGCTAATACTGAGTACTCGAGCATGGGGCAAAGAGCGACGGAGGACAACCAAGTTTACAGGTCTCCTCTGGAGCGTTCCCTCAATCGGGCATGAGGTGCTGTTTAAGGTAGAGTTTCGGAAACTCTACCCTAAGCTACCCTAATTATTAGGCTGGTCTAGAGTTTCAAGCTCTGCCTTAAGTTTCAAACTCTATTTTAATAGCCTAATTTAGGGCATTGTTTCAAACTCTACCCTATGTTTAGGGTATTTAATAGAGTTTGAAGCTCTACCCGATTTCGAAATCCTTCCCTTAATCCCGGATTCCACATTTCGAACCAATTGAGGCACGCTCCTGGTTAAGAGGCGATACAGTACGAGCTCCTCAGTAGAACTACAGGTGTAGTAAGTAGTAAGAGCCAGACTGGCCGAACCGTGGCGCCGTAAAGCCAGCTTAAGTTTGGGGTTTGGGTTATTTTCCTGGTTAAAAAAGTGGAGACTCGTACTTTTTGTGCTACGTGTAGTACCTCGACGTGCTCTCTGCCGCTGCCCTGCTTGCCATTGTTGAGGACCACACGTCTGAGAGGTCGTCTGGGAGAGGGCGGGAAAGATCGACCGTCATGACGATCGTTATTGTTTGAAAGGCACACCCTCCAAACTTACTTGTTCCTTTTGTTTGCAGCGAACGACGAATATCCATTCTTTCACATCAACCCCAAGCACCAAAGCGCTAATATCCGTAGCAGTCCCTTTTCGCTTCAAAAGCAAAAGACCAAGGCTATCAAGATGGGTGGCTCTGACATGGCAGCGTTGCTAATGGCCGATTCCGATTCGGACGGCTCCGACACGGAAGAATTGAAGAATGTGCCGGCATCTACTTCGGCTGTTGCAGCCGCAATCCAGCCCACCGCCAGCCCCACACCGCCTCAACAGCAGCCAAAGCAACAACAACCGGCGGCACCCGCACCAGCGCCCTCACAGCCCCCTCCTCAGAATCAGCCTCCGCCCGCCAACAAATCTGAATTGTCTCAACGTTTGAAGTCACTGTACTCCCCAGCGAACCATGCCAGCAAGAAGGCTGCCCCAGCACCGGCGCCTCCTCCGTCGCAGCCTCCTCAACAGGCGGCACCTTCTCAGTCGGCCCCTCCGCCGGCAAGGCCTCCTACTCATGCAACTAGCACCAGTGGAAGACCTCCTCATCATTCGCATCACCCAGGAGCTCCTCCTCCTACGCAGCCATCACAAGCATCACAATCTTCTCATCACATGACGTCTCAGACCCAGATGCAGCGGCAGAGCAGCCAAAGCAATCGTGGTCCGCCGCCGGGGTCTTCTCGAAGTTCACACCCTCAGTCTCAACAACCTGGGTACTCGTCGAGTTCCTCGCAGCAAGCACCCCATTATTCCTCCCATCACCCATCATCGCAGTCGTCTTCACAGCAACAACCTCCGTACTCGCAGCCTCCTTCTTCATACGGGCGTACCAGTTCCAGTCAGCATCGACCCTCCAGTTCCAGTGGGCGTCCTCCTTCCTCCTCGCAACAACCTTCTTCCTCTTCTCATAGATCATCGAGTGGTGGTGGTGTGCCCAATCCAGTTCCTCATGGCTCTGTTCCTGCACCTGGCCAACGACGTGGAGGTGTCACTCATGATCCCTTTGAGCCAACACCACTCAGCAAAATTCGTGACAGAGAGCAAGCTGCCATGGCAGCCGTTGCGGCACGTGGCAGCAGCAGCGGCAGTGGGTATCCAGGAGGGAGCGGAAGTGCTTCTGGCCACCCGGGGTCGTCGCGAAGTGGTGTCGCCGCATCCGGTTCATCCTCGGAACGAGAAAAAGAAATGCGACGACAAAAGGAAAGGTTCCTCATGTTCACTAGAGTGCTCATGAAATACCTCGAGACCAAAGATCCGTCGCTGCACAGCAAAGTCAAACTAATTATCAAAGAGTGCGCCGAGCGAAATAAACGAAATGAACCCGGCTACGAATCCGTCACAGCGAGCATGAGGGAACGACTCAAGCAGGTTGTAGGTGATGCTTATTGGAAACGGGCCGAATCGTATCTGGCGCACTTTTTGGCGCAAAAACAAAAACAGCAAGGGACTTCGTCGTCGTCCTCCTCCTCGGCCAGACCTGGCAGTAGTAGCAGCGCTAGGCCGGGAAGCAGCGTCGACGCACAACGAAATGCCGAAATGAAACGGCGAGAAGAAATGGAAAAAAGACAGCGATTACAACAGAAACAGCAACATGAACGGCGCATGCACGAACAGCAACAACAAAAGCAGCAACTAGGACCTCCCACCACGTCACAACCTCCGTCAACGCAGCAGCAACCCCCGAGCGCTCCCCAGCCCACGCAACAACCACCTCCACAACAACAGGAGGCACAGCAGTCCGCGCCACCCACGGCGAAATCTTCGCGCCCCTCCTCCCAGGGCACGGGAGGAAAAGGAGGGAAAAAGACTAGTACTGGAGGCAAGCAAGCTGGTGGAAAGACTGGCAAGAAGGCAAGGGCCAAGCCGCAGACAAGCGCTGCCGCTGGTCCCGGGCGGGGATCCAAGTCGGGCTCAACCATGGCGCAGTCGCCTCTGGCAGGACAGCAGTCGCCCTCGGGGCAATCGACTCAGGGCATGATGACTCCCAATCCCATCGTCGGCGTGATGGATTCCTCCACTAGGCCACCCTCGCCACCTCCAGTTCGGGAATACTCTCAGTTGATGGAACAGGTGGAGCACTCTGTGGACTTTGATTGGACCGCTGCGGGGCTCATCATGGGAAGCAACCTGCAGAAGCTGCAATTACAAGAAGAACAAAAGAATTTACTGTACGGTAGCACCGCCACCTACAATAGTGCGTCTGCCAAGCAGCAACAAACGCCCACGAGTTCCAACGCTGCTCGAGGTGGTGAGGAGGGAAAGATCCCATTTGCGCTCCGAGGGTGGGGCAAGCGGAACGTTGTCTCGCCCCGAGTCGCTTGGTGTCGGGCGCGTCGGCGAGAACAACCATCGGAACAAAACAAGGCCAGGTTCAAAGAATTGTATCCAGATGCAAGGATGGCCGTTCCCGCCTCTGCGTGGGTCAACGAGGATAAGGCCGAAGAAGATGCTGCTCTCTGTTTGCTGTCGGAGGCTACGCAAATATACATCACGCAAGTCTTGCAAAAGGCTTTGGTGTGTGCCCGGCAACGGCAGAATTTGGACGGCATCCGACTCTGGCATCAACAGTGCACTGCCGCCATGGAACACGCCAAGGGCAAGAAAGACGGCGAAAACGGTGGTGGCGATGACAAGAAATTTGAGCCCCCGCCTCTTTCCATCAAGTTGGGATGCGACGTTTCTCGGCAGGCAGCAAGGACTGCCGGAAACGCTGCGTTGACGTCCAAACGGATGGAAGAAGCTTTGGGGCGTGCCAAAACCCAGGAACTGACCCGTGTCATCCCATCTAAAGAAGGTTTCCAGATGGATGAAGCCACCTTGATGTCCGCTTCTTCCATGGGAGAGCTGTCTCTCCTTGCTCCGTTGGGCAATGCTGTGGACAAAGCGGACTATGAGGCAAAACGACAATTCGAAGTATATGGAGGAAAGCACGCCATCGAACCACCCTTTGGACGTGTACCAAAGAGAGCTAAATTGGAAGCGTCCGATTTCCAGCGTGGTCTAGAGCTGAATCACTTCTTGGGTGGTCGTCAGAGCCGAAGGCACCGAGCCAATCCTGCTGCGTTTTCTTGGAACGTGCAAGGGTAACCTGGATAGCGCTATTGGATTTCAGAACAAATGGAGAAATTCCTTCGCTCTGCCAGCGTTGACAATTAAATCATTAAATAAGGAACATATGTGTTGCTTTGTATCACGGCTGTAGTGGTCTTGTCGTTGGTTTGTGCTGCATGCCGTTTGCCGTGAGGCGTCAAATTCGACCACAAATCATAAGTGTCGTTTGGATTTCATTGTTCTGTTCACTTGGTTGGCCGTATGAGCCCGACAAGAGCGCTCATGGCATGCCCAGTCACGTCTAGCCTTTGCTCTAGCACCTGCACGCCTCCAAACCCCAAACCACCATGCCCTACCAAGGCATCCTGTGGGACTTGTTCCTGCACATGAAGAAGGAATTGCAAGGCATGATTGCTGTAATGTTTTAGAAGGTACAATTCTTCGTCCTTGCCATAATGAGCTGCCACACCGAGCCCTTGTGCCAAAGCGTCCAATCCACAGGCAATCTCCACGGTTTGAAGGTTGGGGTAGAAGCTCCTCCCTCGTTTCAGCAGTTTCCAAGACACTGATTTAGGAATATCCTCACACATGTCCAGAATATACGCAGCAATCTCTTGTTCTGCCTGCTTCCCATTACCAGTTTGTTCCGCCTGTAAAAGGGCATTCCAAAACCGGGTAAATGCCTGGATTTGCCAAATGTTGTAATTGGTATCGGTATCGCCTTGATGGTAGTAGTTCGAGTAGAACCGGAAGGCTTGGTGCATACTTGAAAGAATTCTTTCTCGAATACTGTCTTCCAGAGCACAATAATTGGCGCTAGCTTCCGGTTGATGTTGATAGACTTGCATCAACCCAACCATGGCTTCTCCTGGGAAGAAATCAATGCCCGTGTAGACATCATCGCTAAGAAAAGAACTTTTGAAAGCGCCTTCCAGTCCTTGTCGTGATAAGATTCCCCTAGTCAGACCATTGACGATGTCATTGTCGTGGGGAAGTGCAAAGTCGAGACGAACGGCTCCCAGCCACGCCAATAGATACAACGCCGAATGAGCAATATTCGAAGGTTCCTGCAAATGGTCTGGATCCAGCCATGCAACCCCTTCGTCTCCATACACAACTGGATATGCTTGTAGGGTACCAATTATAGCCGATTGGAGTTTTTCTCGCTCTGCTTCTCCAACATTGTGGCATTCCAGCAGCACTGTAGTCGCATCCCACGAGGCAGCCAAATCACGAATGGGACAATGCTGATGAAGGAGCTCGCCCGTGGGAGGTCTGGAAATAGAATAAAATCGGTTGGCGTCGAGATCCACCATGGAACATATGTAGGAAGTCATTTCGCTCAACATCTTCTCTTGTTCAGGAGTCACCGTCCAAGTGGTGGACGTCATCAAAACGGTTGTTTGACACTGACACCATTGTGCCCTTTGGCGATGGTGGGGAAGAGCGCCAGCAACAAATGCCAACACTAGCTAGGCTTTGCCAACAAAGAAGGGTGTGCCAAAGTACCAACACAAAGATGGCTTCAATTCTCTCTGTCCGCATTACGGCCGTACTATTATAATAGCTTTGGTAACACTGCCCTTTCCTTGCTGTGTCTCTTGGACACATGCAAAGATTTAGGGCAGGAAGGTTCGGTCAGAGGCCAGACCTGGATCTTTTTCCACACCGCTGGCATCACCACATATAGGGGGGGGTTTAGAGTAGGGAAATTATCTACGGAAGCCAGCCGGGGCCAGGCTTAAGCAAAGAACAGTCGAAATTCAGGACTAGGTTCTGTGGGATCAGGGGCAAGAAATGGAGGACCATTACGGGGGGCAAAGGGTTTGGCTTTGCGGGACCCACGGAGACATAAATGGGTAGCTTTCACAAGGGCAATTGAGATACGGGTCTGCATGAAGAACATCATTTGAGAGTAGGAAAATTGAGTTTTGGAGGCAGTAGCAGAAGCAAGGCGTTGTAAGAGATTCTTGGCTTGACTTTTCTTGTGCAACCGAACTGTCCTTTGCAGTTACATGTAGTTGTCACTACTGTACGACTGTGCTAAGTCTACTAATACTACTCACTCCCATTCAAACCAATCCAGGAAGCAAGTGCTAGAAGAAGCATAGAAGGGATCAGAGAAGGCTACTAGCACAGGATGAGTAACCGAGGACTGATGACGGAAGCTGTGGCTTGTACTTACGGCAACTGTGTCAGGATCGGTGAAAACAACGTTGAAGTGGTCGGAACTGAGACCATCAGATAACAACAACAAGCTGTTGTCCCAGCTTGTAGCTGTTGTCCCAGCCTGGAGCTGTTGTCCCAGCCTGTAGTGGTTGTCCCAGCGTGAAGCGGTTATCCCAGCCTGGAGCTATAGCTGTTGTCCCAGCTTGTACCTGGTGGCTGTTGTCCCAGCCTGAGGTGGTTATCCCAGTCTGAAGCGGTAATCCCAGCCTGTAACTGTAGCTATTGTCTAAGCCTGTAGCTGTAGCTTGTAGCTATTGTCCCAGCCTGAAGCGGTTGCCCAAGCTCCCAGCTTGGAGCGGTTGATTGGTATGTTCTACACCAATTTGCTACACTTGGCCAAATCCTCTACGGCATTTGAGCCACACCGTACCAGCAAAGCAACTGCCGATCAATCCAACCAGCTTGCTTGCTATTGTCGTCGGCAACGATCCATACTGCTTCTTCTTCCGATCCAACGAATGAACCATCGCTCCTGCTTTGAATGAGTTCTTGTTCCACACAAACGCCACTCTTCTTGCATTAGCCCTAGCTACCCATCAACATGAAGCTTTATCTTCTCAAAAATCACGAGACGTCCATCATCAATCAAGTCGTTGCAGATGGATGAAAGATATCAGTAAAGTAGAGCATGCAAATATGACAGCCAGCTACACACTAGCTACCGCTACCGTAGCACCTCCACAGACTCATTTTTTAGCACCTCCGCAGCTCTCTTTTCCCCTTCAACAAGTCAGAACTCAACTCCACTTGCTATTCACGACTGATTGTCTTGTAACAAGCGCACAAACTAAGCAACTGCATGACTAGCATGCTATTAAAACTACTTCTAAATTCCTCCATGTCTAAAAGTCAATACCCTCAACCTGGAGTTCCTGTGGGTGGGTGGCACTCTCCACTCGGTGCTTCAGATCAGCAGAGATCCCACGGATTCCACACCCAGGGTACCAATAGACTACTCAGAGTAGTGCTTATTGAAGACGAATCAATCGATGGTACACTCCAACTCTCTTGTCTCTTGTGGCTATACTAATACGAATTCGAAGCTCTGTGGTACGAGCAGTTGCAGACAGAGGACGAAAATTCAATTGCACTACGCTAAAAGCTAGTGTAAAGATCTTTCGAGTGTTTTGAGTTTGAGAGAATGAAAGTTATGAGAGAGATTAGAAAGCTACGAAAACTAATCCATGAGAGAGATTGTTGTGAAGCTCATTGAAGTTGGTCTCCGCGGGAGGCCTCGAAGTGTGATATCGTAGGTTATGTAATAACTCTACGTACTCCACGGTCCATTTCGGAACACGTGGAAACTTCAGCTAGTAGCTGTCTAGTAGCGTGGAAGCTTTCCACGCCGCTAAATATCTCTCTCTTTT